AGCAACACAGCGTGTACACTTAACATTAAAATCTTACAGTCTTAAATAGTTCTATTCTTATTAAAAACCATTTCATTTCCTTCCAAATCCATCTCATCACACAAGAGAGTGTAGATAGAGAGACAGCGAGATGAAGCCTAACTGACGCTTCCTCTAAACTCTCTATTTTATTTTTATGAGAAAGGACCTGGAAGGCTAATTACCTTTAAAATCTAGTAAATTCGTGAAATCACATATATAATCCTCGAATATCGTGCTCAATTCCGAGCACTGGTGACAGCTGCCCGTAATAATAATAAAGACACGCGTCTAAACACCACATCGAAGCCAAGGCTTCACCCCGCGCGCCCCAGCTCCGCGCTCGCGTTCCCGGGAACTCGTGTCGCGTCTCGAGACCGCCGAAAACTCGCGCTCAGGACGTAACAAATTGTATCATTATCATCGTCGTCGCTGTCATCATCTTCCTCATCATTACTGTACTCATGTTTATTCTTTCGCTTACTCTTCATAAACTTAGTTTCAACTGGTTTACCTTCACGTGCAGAGTTTCCAACGATTTGTTTCAACGGTTCGATAATAGGTTTTAATTGTGTCTCCAGAACGATCTCCTTCTCTATTATACCAGTCTTCAATGCTCTGTGTTTCTTACGAATCGACGCGCGTGTCTTCGCGGTCAATTTCACCGTTCTCTCCCGTTCGAAGAGACTTTTCGTTCCAACCATGTTATCGTAACGGTAAAGAAGTACTGCTCATGAGTTTTTTTCACAAACACACTACAGATGATTTTTTTCACGCTACAGCGAAATCGTTGAATCCTCGTCTGTATCTACCGTTGCGTAATGCGCTATCTTTTACCACGCGCTGTCTATTACCACAAAACCGTATTTGTGTTGCCAACATAAATGGCACAACGTGCAAAAATTCTCATACGATATATCAGTGTTTACGTGATCGTTATAAATGTGTTTCAAGTTAGTACCATCCTGTTTGAATAGTACTAAAAAATTTGCATTATCGCGTATCAGATGTTTCGGTATTTTTGCATACGCCTGACAGAGATAAAAACAATCGATGTTCGTATGTCGACCCTTAGAAAAATATTCTCTAATAGTATTCTGATTATCACAGGCCACATCATCGAATACAAATATTGAATTGGGAAGTGCCTCCTTCGATGGTATGACGTCACGATTGTTGGAAAATGCGTAGTAGCCGATACCATTTATCGATTCGAGTAGTTCTTCCAAATATCGATATTTCAATTGAAAGAGAGATTTCGAATACACGTACACGTTTTCGAAACGTACACCGTGTAGACTTTCTATCAAACTTATCAAAGCGTTCGTTTTCCCACAGTTGGACGGTCCACAGATGATGCAACGAATTGTATTCGGTAGTAGAGGGCCGTGTCTACGAATCTCTCCATCGGACATGAGTCGTGTCTTGCGGTCGAGATTCGACACTCCTATCGTTCGTGATTGTCGTACGAATCGCATTTACTCGCGTAACGCGCGTGCGCAATGTAGCGCGAGTGAGTTTTTCAACACTATTTATATCCCCGAGCAAGCGCTCGATTCACACAGTTTACTGTAAAAAGCGGATCGTTGTTGTTATCACAAAAATGTTTTTCTTACTGACCAATAAGCGTGAGATTCTTGATTTTACCGCCGAACAATTGCAGTACATACCGAAGATTCTTCTTCTACAGGAATTTGAGAATTATGAGGAGATACTATGGGATCGATTACCCAACCATTTAAAAACAGATCCTGAAGTGCAACGCTGTCGTCCGTGTTTAGAGCATTACAATCGTCCGTGGCAACGAACACACATAGAAGGTCCATCACCACTTATCAAAGATTGCGACATATGTCGCTGTCGTATGAGATAAGATAGTGTGGAGAGGAATGATTTCTGGTGCGGGTTTACTCAATAAGACAATAAACGCGCTTCCGTTTAAAGTACATATACCTGGTTATCAATTTTGTGGACCTGGTACTGGTCTCGTGAAAAGACTAGCGCGTGGTGATCGAAATATAAATCGATTAAACGTGGCGTGTCGCGAACATGATATCGCCTATTCGCAAAGTAACGATCTCGCCGGTCGTCACATTGCCGATCGAGTTCTCGTCGAAAGAGCACGCGAACGTATAACGGCGAGTGATTCGACGTGAGAAAACTGCCGCAACCGCTGTATGGGCAGCCATGAAAGCAAAAACGAAATCAGGGATGGATATGAAAAGAAGAGAACGAAAAGGAAGAGACTACTTCCGGTAACGAAACGTGGAGGTATCCTACCGATTTTACCAATGTTAGGTGCGCTTGGATCTTTGATTGGTGGAGCGGCGAGCGTAGCGAGAGCTGTGAGCGATCGCAAGGCCGCTCGACGTTAGTCGGAGGGTCGTGGACTGTATCTAGCGCCCTACAAACGCGGTGGTAGCGTGAGGAAGAGGAAAAAGGCAAGAGGTAAAAAAAAACATCGTGGAAGGAGACGTTAGAGGCTCTTAAAATACAACTTTCCAGTATCACGACGAACGAACAGTTGAGCCGCGCGGCGTATCGTTTGCGTTTACCATTCTTCAGAGGTGTGTTTATGCGTGACGCGTTACCGACGAAACCGTATCGAAACGAAAGCGTTCTTATCAAACGTTTGATCAGAGTATTTGCGGTCAATTGTGTCTACAATTTCTTCGAGAAATAGATTGGAAGAAAAAATATATCTAATAATAAGTCGTGTGAGTCTCAGTTGAGCGTTCACCTTCAATCGCATTATGTCGTTGACTCTCGCGTTGAATGGAACAACAAGTATCCTCACGGCGAGTTACTTCCCTGTGTTGGATTTAAGTAATGGTGAATACGAATTGAGTCTTACGAATTTTGAAACGTACAACGCAATACCGAACGTTACTTTCGCGAATAATAAATTCTACTTCGATACCGACGATAAAGTAATCGCGATTCCCGAAGGATCGTACGAATTGAGTGCTATAAATAGGTATCTGAGAGCTGCTATTCGTCACGTACGACGACGAACGCTTAACGATAAAGGTAATAATGACGATGAGTACATATTCGACGATGACGACGACGACAACAATAGTGCTCATAAAGAAGAGATACTGATTCTTCGAGCCAATGAGAACACTATGAGAAGCGAGATCGAATGTGCGTATCGAATAAATTTTACAACACCGAATAAGATCGGTTCGCTATTGGTTATTCAAAATCGCGCGTATTACAACCGAACAAGTGGTACGCGTCTGACAAACCTGTGAATATTATGAATGTAACTATACTTCGTATAGAATGCAACATTACCGCGGGTGCGTACAATAACGATAAACCAGCGCATACGATACATGAATTCGCAGTGAACGTTCCACCTGGATATAAATTATCCGATACTCCCACACATGTCATTTATCTCCCAGTCGTTGCGAGAAACGTTACCGATGTAACGGTACGTATAGTGGATCAAAATGGACAATTGATAAACTTTCGTGGAGAAGAGATATCGATTCGATTTCATATACGACGCAGACGATAAAAAATATGCTCAGATGCTCGTTCTAAACGAGTCGCACGATTGTAAGAATACGTCCACCATACCGCAGACGTCGCAATTATCATCGCTCACCGAACGATACGTTGGAAGAAAACGGAGAGGAACGGAGGAGAGATTGAACGCTGCGAACGTCAAATTTCTACGGTCTCTGGGATTCGTCGTAAACAATGAGTCGCGATATTCTAAACATAGGGGGAGAGCCTATCTTCGACGATCGTATCGTTAAGATCGAGATTCACACTTACAACCCATACGCTAACCACATTCGGATACAACGATGAAATACGAATACCTATACAACATCAGGATCTGTACACGTTACCGTGTGAGAGTTTTCTCTACGTCGAGGGAAAATTTTCAACGACAAAACGAGATGGAAACACATCCGAGGAACAACCTCCAAAATTGTTGAATAATTGCGTCGCGTTCATGTTCGATGAGATTCGGTACGAGTTAGACGGTGTGGAAATCGATAGATCTAGAAACGTTGGTATTACCAGTACGATAAAAAATTTCATATCGTTAACCACTAGCAAGAGTATAACGTTAGAAAATGCAGGATGGGACGACACTATGCAGTTATTTCGCGCACCGCTTTCCGAGAGTTTCAACTTTCGTACCACTCAACACACTCCTAGGATTTTACGAAGATTTTAAACGCATAGTGATAAACGCGCGACACGAACTTATCCTGATACTTGCGCGTAACGATAACAATTGCGTTGTGGTGCACGAATCGACGGAACCTAAAATCACACTATTAAAGATACAATGGAGAATGCCACATGTAGTGCTGAACGATGTCAATAAATTATCACTTTTGCGAACGTTGAAAGGTGGACGATATCTCAGCGTGTGTTTCCGGTCGTGGAACCTGTACGAATTTCCTCAGCTGCAAAGCACAACGAAGCATTCGTGGGCTGTTAAAACAACGTCGCAATTGGAAAAACCGCGATATAGAACCACTAATGTGAAATTTTTTTAAATTCTGATTTTTATGCTTACGACGGTATGAATTTAGATTTCGAACACAAAAAATACGCTATACCTACTGTACGATATTTATGTAAAATTTCAAAAGACGTACTACGGTTACAACACACGCACTCCTATGTTATCTATTAGAGAATTTCTTGTACACGGTCCATTCGCGCGCGCGTAGTGATCGATTGTTCTCGCCAAAACGAATCGGTAAAGAGCGCCACTGTGGATATTCGTATAAAATTCGAATGTATGGAAAATATTCCACTGAACACCACAGCTTATTGTCTTATTATTAACGATAGGGTGATAGAGTACAATCCATTGACTAATGTTATTCGCAAAATTGTATAATATTTTTAAACTCTTTATTGAGTTTCATACGCTATCATATTGTATTGTAAAACACATATTACCTTAAATATATTATATTTTACAAAAAAAGTGATGATGTCATATCCCTTTCCTCTTAGATAGATAAGAGTCTCGTCTGCAAAATATTAAGGTATGAAACATGATTCATGTTGTATATATAGAGAAATCATGAAACGCGATTCATTACTCTTGACAGAGCATTCGAGTACGCATCGTTTTTACCACGTGTCGTATACTTGTGTTACATCGCGATGTCTCTCACATTCATCATCATCGTTTTCGTTACGATTACTACGACGACGACAACGAGAACGGCAGCGTCGACGGCAGCGACGAATCGTGAAAACATATATACTGAAGTAATTCTGTATCTACAAAAGTATGGCTACTTGAGTAAGGCTGGCAACAATACGCAATTATCATTCGAAGAGGGAGAATTTAACAGGCTATTTCGTTGTTTCAAGAATATTATCAAATACAGGGCGATGGTACATTGAATAACTATACGTTGTATCAGATGCGTAAACCACGATGTGGTCTCCCTGACATCTACGAATGCAATATAGGTAGACGTAAATGGGCGAAAACACATCTCACGTGGAATTTCCAGCTAGCGGATCCACAAACTTTGCAAACTACTGAATTCGCGTTCTCACTATGGGCAGCTAATTCGTCTTTATCATTCGAACGTAAAACGGTAAATCCCGATATCTTAATATATTATCGTAGTGGCACACACACTTACACTGATCGTAGACGCAACGAAGAAATTTGCGTCTCTTCGTTAGATGGACCTGGTGGAGTACTCGCTCACGCGTTCTATCCTCCTACTGTTGACAATTACAGCACTGAAATACACATAGATAGTGCAGAACCATGGCATATACAGGGTGTTCGAAAAGTGTGGAAACGGTCGAATATCGAGAAATACACATCGGATCAGAAATCTGAAAATATAGGTATTCAATGTTTTCAAAACAGCTATCTTTTGACATCTAACATGACCCCCCACCCCCACCCGCTGTGGGTGAAAGAAAGGATAAGTTTAAAATTTTAAATGGGAACCCCCATTTTTTATTGCAGATTTCGCTTCTTCAGAAAAAGTTACATAAATTTTACCTTTTAATTGCTCGTTGTGCAAAGTCACGAGATCGTGCAACAGAAGTAATAATGGTTTCCCCTTGCCATTGACTTATTTTTTTACGAGCTTAAATCCATTTCGTTATGTCGATGACATGTTAATTGTGTTACCTCACAACTGTGTAGACGAGGTTTTAAAGCGTTTTAATTCTTATCATAATAGAATAAGATTTACGTTGGATGAAGGTAAAGATGATTGTGTAAACTTTTTAGATGTCTCAGCTATTGTAAAACATGAACATATAAGGTTTGATAATTACAAAAAACCGACGAACTCTGGTCGCTATTTAAATTATAAATCAAGTCACCCGGACCAGCATAAAAGAGGGGTAATAATTGGCTTATTGGATAGAATACTGTTCTTGTCGCATCCTGATTATCATGAAAATAATATTAAAGAATTAATTAATATTTTACTTATGAATGGTTATCCGTTGCACATTATATTTTCCACGATTAACTGTAGATTGAAAAAACTATCAAAAAGAAATAATTCATATGTTAATGACATTATGAAAAATAATTTTGAGACCCTTACAATTAATAATTATTTTACAATTCCATATGTAAAG